ACTTCAACTCCCAGAATTCCCCAGCCAGCATTCGCTGGCTGGGGAATTCTGGGAGTTAAAGTCCGGACATCTTCAAGTTGCCAAGGTTGAGAAACGCTGAGCTATAACCTTCAAAAATAGGTTATGGCTAGTTTAAAAATTCCATGATACAGGACCACTGAGGCAAACAAGAGAAAATAGGGCTGATTAAAGCAACAGCCCAGGTCAACTAAACTGGAAAGTGATTTTGTATACGGGATGCCAGTCCATCATTCTGAGTGGTGCGGTGGCCTAGAGGCGGAGCGCTCACCTCACAATCAGGAGGCTGTGAGTTCAATCCTAGGTAGAGGCAGGTATTTCTATCTCTAGGCACCCTGAGAATATATCTGCTGAACAAAACTCCACATTGGAGACAGGAAGGGCATCTGGCCAGCAAACACTGAGCTCCATTCAGTCGCCCAGACTCCACCCCGCAAGGGATTATGGGGTCGTTAAAAGAAGATGAAAGATGATGCCAGTCCATCATTGCCTTCGCATCTAAGAATCCCCCAGATCTGATGGCTGCCATTTCTGATCATCCATTACAAAGAGCAGCTGGATTCTTACCTAACAGCCTCTTCCAGTTTTTGATAAGGAGTTTAGCCAGTGCCACCACTTCCTTGTCTGAGCAATGCTTACGCACTGCGTTGACAGCCACACCAATTTTGGTGGTCTGAAACAAAGAAAGAAGGATTTTCATTACTGGAATCCATACTTTGTGGGGAGAAGAATCTTAGTATCTGTTGTAGAGGAGCCAGCAGCAGAGATGGACAGTGAGGAGGTTGGGAAGGAGCATGAACCAGTCCTGGAAGCTGGGGAAGGGTCAGATAAGGGCTCTGCATTGGAGGCAGAGATAGGGCTGTCTGGCAAGGATCAGGCGCCTACGAAGCTAGACAGCAGTGAGGCAGAGGAACACCTAGAGCCTGTTCCCAATGTGCGCATGCGCAGAGCTATCAGAAGAAATCAGGGTAGACTTGGGAATCAAGTCACAGGTGGAAGGTGATTGGCCCCATCCCATAGGAAACAAAAGAGGACCGAAAGGGGAGTGGGATTTTGCAGGAAACAATACATTCATTCTGTCATTAGATTCGTTTCAGGAGTGTGAAGATCTGTCTGTGAATCTCAGAGACTCGGTGCCCGGTCTTTCCTTGCACAGCACCTCATTTGGAAAACATTTACATGGCAGCTTTCCAAGATAGATGAGGTCTGTAGTCATAAATATTCCTTTGAAAGACCGCTTACCATGCTATTGCTGACTGTGAATGAGAGGAATTCACATTCGTTTAATAAAAGGCGTTTTGTCGGGACCAGGACTCTGCCTCGTGCTTTTTGGGGAAGCCTAGGTCAGAACAGTATCCCCATTTTCAAATCATCATCATAAGGGATGTCAAAATAGGGGAGACCTTTCTCTGCTCAAGACACTTCATTTCTTTAATTCTTCCTCACCACCAATGAAAACGGTGGGAAATTATGTATCCAATTTATTTATTTACTAGATCCATTTACAACCCCCCTCCCCCTCAATTGCCAAACAATAAGTGACAATGCATTAAAAAGATCCACTTGTGTCGGGAGTTAGCAGATTGTCAAAATCCGCACAATTGGGTGCAACTATTATGAAAAGAGATGAGGCTCCGTTTTGACATCTTGCAGATTCTGGTCTTCCCTGGCAAGTAGTCCTGATTGAAATCAAGCAAAAACAACAACAGCA